AACTTTTGTCCATTTATTATCAATGCCGCTAATGAGAAATAAAAATCATGTACTTGTATGCTGTCTGAAAATCGGTTTAAATCGAAAATTTGTAACTTTCTCATAATCCCGAATATCTTCGTTCTCACGTTTTTATAGTTTCCGATACGGAATTAATTGATTTCCTGCCGAATGGTTTTGTTTATGATGTTAAATTTTATTTTTTGTCGGTTTTTTAGCGAGTTTTTAACATATGGGTACATTTTTGTTGCTACTCCACTTTCGATAACCAACTACCAGCCGTTTGCAATCAGCTCACAGAACTAGTTTTTTTTTTGTAAGCCGCAACCGTTAAGTCCGTCTTTGAATCTTTAATAAGTAATTGGGCCATCAGATTTAAGCATTGGGGTTTTAGAGGGAAATAGGTGAACTGAATGGATTACGTTACTAGCTGAAAAGGAGGTACTTCTTTAAGCAGAATTTAATGCGACGAATTAGACAAGTTTCATTATTCTATGGGATATACTCGGAAGCTTGTATTATAGTCCGTATTATTTAACTTTCACTAATCTATTTGTTATGGATCAATCATTAATCGGTGATAAGAAAAACCGACGCAAAACGATTGCAAATTTTAACTTGAAACGGGTCTTGCGAAAGGGCGAAAGTAGCTGTCGATGTAGGTTTATTAATTTATTGATAAATAACCAAATAAAAAAATATGGAACTAGTTAAAAAATAAAAGTATTGTTTTATCGTGATGTCCACCAATTTTGTAAAGGTTGTTTAGTATTGCGCAGTTCGACAACAAAGCTTTTTGCTTTGCAACAGCACCCAAGTCAGTTTAAATGATTAATTAACGTAGTTACTTTAGGTACTTAAATAACTACTGAAGATTTGCATTATGAAACTTGAAGCACAGACACGATCTATAAGTCTGCACTTCAGTTTGCTCACTAAATAGTATATTTTTACTAGGGCTGATTTACTATTATAAGAAATTGCAAAAATCGCAACATTCAAAACATCTATTCACTGTTTTGTCATTGAGGGAGCAAAACTTTGTCAGCTGCTCATTTTGGCGCCATTCCTCTAGGGGATGCAGCCGGCTCTTTAGGAAATAAGGAGAAAGTCTATAAAAGTACTTTCGCTGTATATATTTCCAAGTTAATCCAGTTGATTAGTTAATATTTTTCTTTTCAGGTTTGTCCTCTTCAAAAAGCATTACGACAAGTATCTACACCTGTCGCAAAAGTATGAAGAGGCCCGAAACATTGCCTATTATCTAGAGGAGAAATATCATGAGGTTAAGGTGCGTGTTCATTTGCTTCCTGTTCATAATTAGCGCAGAACAATCGATCTAAAGCTAATAGTATTGCACGTCATCAATCAGCTTTTTCAGTTTATTGCCATCACCAAATTGACTTTCACACACAGTCACTTTGGTATTTATATGCCAATTCGGCGCCGCATATTATTTTAGGACACGTTATTAAAAATAGTATTTTTTTATTTTAATTATAGAATTATCGGCAAAGTGTTTTTCAAGTATAATTTTTTTTGAGTTCTTCGAGATTATAATTTTTACTTGCGTTATAATGTTGCTCTAGAATTTCTCAACTCAATCACGTAGAGAGTGAGGAAAATGTAAATTTACGTTTCGCTGGAGCGGAGGAAAAAACTAGCCAAATGAATAATTATCATTATGGGCTGAGTTTTTTCGAAAAATGTGCATAACTCGAAAACTAGCCTCGTCTTCTGAATTGCAACAAATAACCCTTGTTCAACACCACAAAACTCTTACAGATTTTCATGTAAATTAAATACTTAAATCATTTATGTGATAAAAAATTGATTGCCGAAAAATCGTTTTTTGCCATTTTATCGATTAATTTCTTCCTAGGAAGTCAAGTTTCGCCGCAAATATCGCAATAACCGTTTTTTACCCCTAAACTGCATCTCCATTCCACCATTTCCAGTGTTTTCGTGCTTAAATTTGATTTTTTGTTAGTTGGAAACTGAACCACTTTTTGTGTGTTGTGTGACGTACATTTAAAGAGACGAAGCTGAAACTTCAGACATGAATAAATACACAAATCTTGTTGTTTTGGAGTTTTTTCAATGGTTTTACTACCGTCGTCAGCAGATGTATTGTGGGGAGCTTTGAGTATAAACTCGGAGCAAAAATTCCGGTTCGTTAACTTGTTGGGAGGCAAACTTGCTGTATTGAATGATGTGCAACAATGATCTTTAACGAAAGTAGTTTCGGAGGATTTAATTTCACTTCCAAAGTCGACTTTTATTGTTGCATGTTATTGTTCAAGACCCAGATTAAACAAGCATTTGCAGACAATAATGAATCGGTATATACTAACTTCCTACCGCTTCTTTCATTCGAAATTTACCACAATTTACACACAATAAAGCGCTGCGCCTGAAGGTAATTAAGGATGTATTTCCAGACAGTTTCAATGCCAATGTTGAATGAACTTCGCTTAATCTCCTAACGTTAAATTACTGCAACTTCAGTCCGTCACTACCTACCTTTATTTGGCCAAATAATATAAAAATCTTAGACAATAAAATATCTCCTGGTTTGTTATACGATTTTCAGTTTAAATTTGTGGTAATTTGAATAAACTCGGTTTGTAATTGTTGTATTAGAACGATCAACCCCATCTAATCCAATCACATTTTAACATTTCAATGATAGAACCATATAGTTGATGGTGAGCTGTAAAGCGGAAGGATTGTTGGCTTTTTTCGTCATTTTCTATGTATCTTACAAACCCATCTTTTAGGTCGTGTTTGATAGAGTAATGTTTTTTGTTTCAGACTGAAAGAGATGATCTTATCCAACAAAGAGAAAGAATAGCCAGAAGACTTGAATCAAATGAGTGTCTGCTCAGAGAAAAAGAAGATGAAGTGTTTATCAATTTAGAAAGAGTGGTGTACCTTGAGGAACAATGCGATAAGGTATGTAACATTTTTACGTGAATTGAATATCCGCATATATTTACATTTGTGTTTGTCCTCGAGTGTCCAAACCTCCAAACATTCTATTGAAATTCTGCGGACAATAGGGTGTTTTTATTGTATTAAAAATTCCTACAAACTGAACATTAATCTATGGTATAAAAATAATTTACAGTTTGTGTTAAGCTAAAAAATCGCTTCAGAAGGATTCCTTAAAGCGTCAACAAACACACTTATTTTGTGATCCATACAGGTCACTATTTTCCATTATGCAAAATAATAATCAATAAAATAATGACAATCACAATAACTTAAATAATGAAATAAAGCTGCGAAAACAACAAAATATACACGAGACACTTTGTTGATATGACCTGCTACGTCACAATCGCGATAGGCAACCGACGATACGGATTCGGGGTTTTTGGCGGAAAATAGCGAATTTAAATTTGCTTTAAAATTATTATAGAGACCTTTTTTGCAAAAAAATTATATCAGTGTAATGTTTGCCATAACTACTTTATATATATCAACATTTAAAAAAAAGTGAAAACACTTTTTTTCTTTACACTTTTTATTTTACTTGCTCCATTACACTATGAAATGGGATCTGAAAGAAAGAGGGACATTAAATTGGTCTAAATTACCAAAACCTTGTTTAATTTTAACTATCTTAAACTTTAAAAATTTAAATACTTTCCTGGTTTTTTAAATAATTTATTGCAGATAATCTAGAGTTATCCACTAAACATTTCCATACACATTTAAACTTATTTTGGTCTGATAACACATTTGTTTAAATTAGATAATTCAAGAAGTCAATTGTGTTTAAGAATGTACATTTAAAACTATATTTTGCCATGCAAATGTGCTTCGGTTCAGCAAATTAACATAATATATGTGGGTTGTACAAGTAAAGTGTAGGTCTTCCTTTTATGATAAGACATGTTTGAGTGAAAGACTATTTCACATAAATATCCATATGCAATTCCCAACGTTAAATTCGCATGCATATTTTGCAATATTAGTTAATGATCATTACTATGCATGCTTCGTATTATGCAAATGAACAGAAACGTTGACTAAACTTAGAATGATGGCTCATCACCCTCGAAACCTTTGAAAGGCTATTGTTTGGAATTTCGGTCGACGAATGTGTATCGATTTTGAATGGAATATTAATAACTATCCAGTTTCCTGTGTCTAAGAATAGTCCAGTTTTCAAATAATTGAAACTAGAATATCTGGGGCAAATTTGAACCAAACTTGATATTCGTTTTCTTTGCAGTTAAGGGCTGAAAAAGAGAAACTTTTCGAACAGAAGGCTATGATTGAAAAAGAACGCGACAAAACTTTAAGACTGGTAAGTTGAGCTGTTGTTTAAAGGGAAATATTCCGCTCAACGTTCATTTCTTACAGATACAAGAGCAGGCCAAGGAGTCAGAGTACAACAGGAGAAAGCTAGAAAGGGCTAGGCAGGAAGTGGTCCATCATTTAACTAAAATCAAGAATGAAAAAGAAACTTTAGAGAGAGAAGTGAGTATCTATATTTCCTCCTTTTATTTTATTATAAGTCTATTTATGTACTTTGCGTAATTGATGATCGATACGTTTTATAAATTATCCACAAAGAAATATTTAATCTTTTTGTATTAATTATTTCTCACCGAGCGCGTGTAGGATGTAGAAACTGATTTTCAAATTACCAACTGTTAAAAAGCTGGTGAGCTTTCTGAAGATTACAAGCTCTGAAAGTAGTTTGGCTGAAACAATAGACAATGCACCGTTCTCTAAGAGATCGTAGTTATAGACACATTTATTTGCTCATTTTTAACACAAATCATCACGCATTTAACTGAGAACAGCGTTTCCTTGATGGCTGAAATTACACTAATTAGTTCTTGTTGCTCGGAAATCTGTTGCTTCTTTCAGTTTATAATTATGCAGTTCCTGTTTTTCGTAGCAGATTTTTTACCATGCGATTTTCTTACGTGTAGAACGACAAACTAAAAGAGGCTTTGGAAGCAGAGCGGAAAGGACTGACACGATGCGTTCCTCACATTCTTCGACGGCGAACGGATGCTTCCGAATTTGCGGACCGAAGAGTAAGAATTTCCATATTTTTTTGCTTATATTTTTACCAAACTGATATCATTGCAACGTGTATTACAATTACCAGACCAATTTCCGGTATACTTTGCCATTCCAAACACCGCCATTTACCAATCAAACATACATCTTTCACCGCTATTAATAATTTAAATTGATAATAACCTTGCTCGGTTATATAAGGGAAAAATCATTTTCAAATTGCATTAATTGTTGGTTAATTGCATTAATTAGGCAGGTTCTATTTATATGCTCGCTTGTATCTTTTACTCGAAGAGTTTATTAAGTTGTTGCGTCATGTTTGAATTTTAATTTGCCAATTCAGTAATTATAAAGTCATTCATATTTTTAATTTAATTATGCTTTTGCCGGTGGATCTGCACAAAACTTGGTGGCAATCCAAAGATGACGAACTTTTGGCAATGCAAACAAGTTTTTATAAAAAGGAGCGGCAATTTTTTGCCTACTTTTTGATGATTGATTTACTTAGAAAACATTGTGTTGTCTGCCATGCAGCCGGTGTTTTACACATGAAATACAAAATTATACAGATTGTTAAAGTAAGATGTTAAAAATGTTCTTATTAACAGCGCCAACTGGTTGGAATAGTTCAGAATTTGTGGCATCAATTGATATAAATTGTTGTAAAGACAGGGTGATTTCAAAATTCCTAATAAATGATTATCGGGATTTTCTTGTAGAATGTCGGCAAATATTTGTTGAGGTTCCAACATTGGAACATTTTTCCAAAAAAAATCGCTTAATTTCTGGATTTTTTTTTGGAAAAATGTACGTAACTTGAAAACTAGTCGCCTTTTTTTCGAAGGGTCGAAGCAACCGTTTTCAGCCCCTAAACTGCGTCCCCATTTTCCCATTGCCAGTGTTTTCGTGTTTAAGTTTATGTCTTAAGTTTTTAGAAAATCGTCAATTGCTCGCTTATTATCGATC